CTGTGGGTTGACTTTGACTGTTCTAACCATTCTTCGCTTCTGTTTATCCGTAATTTTCCTTGGTCTGCCACTTCGAGCCTTAACTTGAACTGTGCCTGTGGTCTTCCATTTCCTGACTATGTTCCTAACTGTCGAAACAGACAACTGATATCTCTTAGACAGCTTTCGGTATCCTTCCCCTAATTCATGATGGTGAACAATCTTTGTTTTCAGGTCATGTGACAGTTGTTTTGAGACTCCCATGTCGCTACTCTTCAGAGAAGATTCACAGAGGAGGGAAACTTACAATTGCCCCCTCTTAAATGCTCTCTCATAATTGGGTTCACCTGTGTATGTAGGTCAAGGGTCACTGAGCTTCCCAAACCAATTTTGATTTCCAATAATTGGTTCTAAAGATTTTTAAATCAGTAAAATGACAACAGTGCCCAAATTTATTTACGTGCCTAATTTTGTTTAAACAACTATTGCACACTTCCTGTAAATGGTATAAACTTCGTTTCACCTCTCAAATATCACTGTGTTTGTCTCCTATATGATATATTTAACTGATTTTTTTTATCCTAAGAACCAACGATTTATGAAGGAAAATCATGGAAATTAACAAGGTTGCCCAAACTTTTGCAGACCACTGTATATGAAAGACTCTTATGTGACCTTCTAGATCAGAATTGTGTGACATGATTGTTTAAGATTATTGGTTTCAAGTTTGCTGTTTTCCTTCAGAGAAATAAAGCTTGGATATTAAAACCTGAATGTAGCTCCAATTGAAATACTTTTCTTACTAGTTTGGCCTGCTGTCAAGGTATTGGTTTATTGTGTTACATTTTTTATTTCTTCTTTTTTTTTACAGGAGCTCCTTGACTCTAAGCAGCGAGGCAGAGAAAGGCTGAACCGTGTTCAGAGGTATGGGGCAGTGGCAAGAGATTACACAGGTTCAGGGGGCTATGAGGCCATGGAGCGAGAGGAAGCAACACTATTGTCATCATGGGAGCAGTGGGAACGTGGAGCTTTACAGACCCGTGCAAGCCTGGAGACGGCCCTCTCACAGATATCAAGCTCAGAGCAAGAGTTCAGCAGCCTATCAGCACAGCTGGAGCAGGATCTTCAGGACTTTAGCGCTCAGCTACAGGGCTGCCGACATCGACTGTGTCAGGCAGAGAAGAAAAACGACGGAGAGGAAGCTGTCAAAGGCTGGCAAATGGCAAAGGTAGGTTGACCCGTATTAAAAATGATGTATAAAATTAAAAATTTACGCTTTTGGCTGTCCTCACTTTCCCATTGTTCCATCTGCAGGATACTTTAGATGAACTTGTCAAAGCCGAGGCGTTGTCTGATCGTCTGAAGACTCAGCTTAATGATTTGTGCCGTTTATCCAGAGAAATAACCACCCAGTCTGAGAGAGTGTCTGCTCTGATCAAAGACTATAACAGGTCAGAAAAATCCATATATACGTGGTACAGTAATCTTTAACAAATACAGCTGCAGCCATTAGCCTGTAACAAACTTGCAGTTTGTTTTTAGATCTAATATTTACAAAACTGTACACATTTTCACAGCCAGTTAGATGCTTTTCTGTAGATCTGAAAAACTGAGCTAGGTGAATGAATGAATGAAAAGGAATTTTTTCCAGACAATTTCAGACAATTTTGACAAACAATAAATAAATCAACTTCAGAAAAATATTTCAAACAAATAAACAACAAAATCTACACAAAAAGAGACATAAAAACAAACAAAACTCCAATTTCCAAACAATCTAAATTCACCTGTACATAAATAGAAATCAAACCCTCCACCAAATGACATTGATTTATTTAAATTTTCTGAAAAGGTATGAAGAAGTAAAACTTATTTTTCATACCCCCTCTCCATCTAATTGCATTTAAAGTAAAGTAACCTTCCTGTTAAACTTCTATGTTTTTAGCTAGAGCTTTTGTTTTGAAAGAAAGCTGTTGGAAATCTCATCTAAATTGTGTTAAACAACAAAGACTTAAAAAAGGATGCATTGGTCAAATGAGGAAAAATCAACATACTAACAATAGTAAACATGGTAGTGTTAATATTTAGCTTTTCTGAAATAGGATGGAGATAATAGAGCTGTATCGTAACATAAAACATGTCGGAGGCGTACAGTACCTTCCAGAACAAAAACACCAGAATCCAACAGTCACATAGGATTTTTTCAGATCAAAGTAGAATAAAATGTTTTAGATTAACCCGGTTTAAGTCCAGACTTAAACCCAATCGTAAGTCTCTGCTAAAACTTACGGAAAAAGATTAGGGCCACTGAAAAAATTAAAAAAGTTAACTAATTTTATTTTATTTCAGTTTAATATGGGAAAAAAGTCAGAATTCTGAGGAAAAAGTCAGATTTCAGAAAAAAATTCAGAATTCT